GTGAATGAAGAGAGATATGGAAACCAAATTGATTTGGGATTTCAAAAAGCCTTGGACAGAGTCCATCACAAGTGTCTATTAAGGAAACTAAGTAGCCATGAGGTGAGCAGTAAAGTACTGTCATTGATTAAATACTGGCTAAGAGACAGAAAACATAGGTCTCAAACATTCAGAGCAATTCACTTGTGTGTTTGTGCATATGGAGGTTCAAGCAAAGTTAGTTTTGTGCTTCCTCAATCCAGCCACTCTATGCTGGATCACTGTCTCAATGCAAGGCGGAGCAGCCCAGAATGTGTTCTGTATGCAGAAGCAGCCAAAGAGCAAACACAAGGTTAGGATGCATAAGAAGTAGGATGGAAAATAATACAAAAAATATAATGCCACTGTATAAATCAGTGGTTTGCCCTCACCCGGAACACTGTGTTCAGTGCAGGTCACCCTATCCGAAAAAAATAGGAGATACAGACACAATGAAAATGATTAAAAGTATGAATGCAGTGGTGTTGTAGCCATGTCAGTCCCAGTATATTAGAGAGACAAGATGGGTGAGGACCCATTATTGGAGCAAGTTCCGTTGGTGAGGGCGAGCTCGCTCTGTGTTCCATAACTGACTGTCAATTATACAGTTTCTTGCACTTTCCTCTAAAGCATCTCATTCTGTGTGCTCTCAGAGACAAGATATCAGACTAGGTGAACTAGTGGTCTGGTCTATCATCTTATTATTCCTATGTTCATAAATAAGTGGTCTGGGCTTCAGTCACTCCCTCTCTTGTGTGTAAGTCATTGAAAGCTGTGGGTGTTCAGTACCTTGCAAAATTAATTTGAAATTTTTGACCTAAATGACTTGACCAAGGTCACATAGCAAGTCAGTGTCAGAGGAGGGAATAGACTTTGGAAGTCCTGAGTCCCATTCCTGTGCCTTAGCTCATGGAATAGGCTTAATGTTAAGAGGCTAGGATACTGAATAGAAAATTGGCTTAAGTGAGAAGCAAAGGGAAGTGACAGAAACATTTCTGTTGGAAAGGGGTAACTATTGGCAAACCTTAGGGGTCAGTGTTAGTGACAGTGTTGCTCATAATAAACATAAGTTATTTGGACGAGGGTTTTGGAAATAAGATCTCCAAGTTTTCAAATGCTGGAGGCAAAGCAAATGAGGAGGAGCATTTGAACTGGATTCCAGAGGATTTGGGTGGTTTAGTGATTGGGCAACAGATGGCAAATACCATTTAATGTAGAAAGATATTAGATAATTAGTCTGGAAGCTAGGAGACAATCTGGGGAATCTGAGCTAAATGGAGCAATCACACTGCCTGCTGATCCCAAGTGGGCAGAGAGAAAATCATTAACCCCATCAGCTCTGTGCAGAGCAGCAATGAAAAGCCACATACAGGATGTGTGTGCATGCATGTCTGTCTAGGCATTTCTACATACATATCACTGTGCTACCCAGCTGTAATAAAGAAGAGGGGTGACATAGTGCACAAGACCCTTGTTGTACTAATAATAATTAACTACTCAGAATTGTGCTGGATGTTGCAAATAGACCTATGTCTAGTCTACTCTCGACTTTTGCCAAATGTTTTCCACTGGTGCCCACACCCCCAGTTCACCTCCATCAGTTCATCTCCCTACGGTATGGAGAGTGCTGGCATAGGCAGTATTTTAAGCACTGTGGATCTGCTCTGAGCAGGATTAGATGAGATGGTGCTTAAAATGCTAGTGGCCATTAGGAGCACGGTCTATTTTGTCCCACCATTGCTACCATTTGTGGAGCTGGAACAGTAGGAGCAATGTTGAGAATTTTTTGGCAAAAAAGGCTAGTGTAAACACCCCCACTAGAAGAGCACAGGCCCTGCCCTAGGGAGCTTACAATCTAAATATGAGATGTGACACAAGTAAAGGTGACAGTCAAAAGGAACCGGGTGAGAAAGGATAAAGCTTACAGCAATTCAATCGTACCATCGCTTATTCTTGTCACATGCTCAGCTTTGTGGTTCTGTAAATGTACTTATAAGGAAGATGAAAAAAGTGAAAATAATTGATTCCCTTATTGAAGGCCTTGCAGACAAGGTGAATTAACTCCTTCTTAGCTGCTTTATCTTTCTACAGTACTGGGATCAAATCAACTTTAGTTAAAACTGCTTTGTTGATTGTAGGTTCTCTCTGTTTATAGAGCTTTCCATATGTACTTCATATCTTTTTCCCACCTGTGTCTATTGTATTGCCTCATTTTCATACCCACTTCCTTTATCCTTCCATATACTCTGCATTGCACAAAAATACATGAACTTATGTTTACACAAATAACGTACAGTGTTGAGGTATCATCTGTTTGTTATATTGTGTGTTACAGTATTTTTGGTTGTTCCCATGCAGCTATCACACACTTTGGCAAATGTTCAGTTTTCTTTGTCCATGTAAGTGTTCCCCTTGCAATTGCATAGAAAAATGTGGTTGTATGCATAGGAAGAAGTTACAGCTTATTTTTTAGGCTCTCTGCTTCGGAGACTAGTAGACTAAAGGACTGAGATGAGGAGGAAGGTAGGGATGAAGGTAAGAGTGACGCGGCTGGAGATGGTTACAAAAGTCCAATGATATAATCAAACCAAGATATCCCCAAACAAATACTGCTTCTGCTCTTGGGTTAATCTGACCATTCCTACAGTTTCTTCACAGGGTGCCCTTACTGCATTCTCTGCACAGGGACCCCAGAAACTGCTCCTAGCCATCCCCTTGTTTTCCCTAAGCCCCATCCCAGGATATCCTCTGACAAGAATCTGCTTTACATCCTCTCTAAAGGAGAGACCTGCCTTCATCATAGATTACCCCTCTAGTGAGTGTCCTGAGCCTACTTATAAGGCTCAGGTGACTAATGGATTCATCATTCTCCACTAACTCCATCACCTCTGTCCAGAAGACAGACATTCAGTTACCCCACAGGTGTGGAATTTGTCTCTAATTGGGTTTCCCTCTCCTGTCTTCTCTAATAGGTGATGGGAGAAAACCTTATCACAGAGTCAGATTCTGCCATCAATTTCAATAGGATGATTTGCAGAGACTGGAAGAATGAAGCCCATAATGAATACAAGAGTTCCTGAGGATTGAATTGTGTTAAATGTCCCAGCCACTGTTGTCTCTCATGGAGCTCTAGATGAAGAAGAGGAGGATGGGAATGAAGATGCTTGTGAAGAAGAAGAGTTTAGACTTTTGCTTCCCATTTATGGATGATGAAAAGAAGAAGTGAATGATACGGAATCAAAAGGAAAAGAAGAATGAGGATGGAAAGTAACTATCTAGCTATCTAATTAGTATTTATTACTGTAGTATCTGGTCTCTGGACATGGATTATTAGTTACAGTGAGCTCTGTCCATATGGGGCTACTAATTCTCCATCCTACTCTTTGAGTTAGCCATTAGGTTCCTGAGCAGATATCAGGGTTTTCTTCTGCTCTGAGTATCTGGCAAATAATTTGGTGAAGAAGTGAGTTTAGCAGCACACTATGAGTGGGGCAAGAGTTGGACATATGTCAATCTTCTTTGGGAAGGAGTCTAGCGACTTGTACCTGCTGTTCAGAAGGCTTTGCCTCTAGTTCCCTCCCCAGACTCAGTGAGTTACAGTGTGCCAAAGGATTGCAGCTGCTATCACAGATTTAAGGAGTATTGATTCTTGAGATAGCATAGGCCTTCCTCAGCAGTTCTGAAAATGTGATCCATGGACCACATGCTGGAAGTCTAAGGAGAACCTGCATAGTGCTGGCTCCTTATTACAGTTTCCTGCTGTTAAAACACATTAAAGAGAACTAAACATACTTAATGTGACTTTTCCAAGAGAGCAATTGCTGTAGTTGTCCCAAGGCTGTTATGTGATCAAGGACAGGAAATCATCTGTGTGATTGTGAATGAGAGGGGATGTGGGCTGGAGGATAGTTAATGTGGGAGTGTGTGCATGAGACAATCTTTCACCTGAGACAGTGTACCCACTTATGAAAAATTCTGAGAATCCTAATGTGTCTCAATAAAAGCTTTGAGATCGGTACCAGAAAGTGGAAGTGAATGCTCATCCAGTCCAGTTTGTGGAGCACTGGTGTAATATGATCTCTGCAGTTTGTCCTGCTTAGAGGACAGGTGTGATGTATTACCTGCACCTTCCTGATGATCTCTATCTTTAGTCTCAGGTGCGGGGGAATTACATACTGCAGTCTGAAGGGATGAACTCATTAACCACTGGAGCCAGGAGATCCTCATCAGAGAAAAAGGTGCAGAGTATTCTTACCACTCTAAGGTGGAAAATGGTACTTTTGGCAAGTAGAACTGTTTGAGTATCTAGAATCAATGACTAGTCCACCATGCTCCCGGAGGCTGGGCATTGTGGTCTTGAAAACTCTGTATGATCTGGCAAATGTGGGTGAGATAGGTGACAATGTCTTAGGGAAAGAAGAAAGTGAGTCAAATCATTGTGTATAAATTGTCTGGAAGGCCTCGGTCTTCTTTTCTGCCTGCTCCCGATATTGTAGTGTAAGAGGAGTAGGAGAAGTGTAGATATGTACATAGGGAGGATTTGAAGACAGCCTAGTCTCCCCTTAGATCCAGATGATAGAAGAGGGGAGGTGACCTACTGATGTCCCTTCCTGTCCTACATTTCTGTGATTCTATGATAACTGCAGTTGTACGGAGGTTGCCTTAAAAGTCCTGCTTTCTGTTTGCCTCTCTGCACCCTTCTCAGAGTTCTGGGTGAAGGAGAGGAGGACACAAAACTGAGAGCACAAGAAGGTTGATGACCCTTTGTATGTGTTTGGCGAAGGAGCCAGCCCCGGCCGCACCTCCTAGATGTGCGTGACGGTGAAGATAAAGAGCAAGATGAAGCTCAGTGGGTGCCTAGATGTGTGTGAGGACTCATTGCAGCCTCCTTTCTCTGCTCATTGTCTGGCTCTCACACGTAGGTGCGATATAGTCTCTTCAGCAGTTCCATGTGTTTCTCAACTCTTCCCTCCCCCTCCTTCCCCGTTTTCAACCAGTAGGAATGAGAAGTGGGAGATCTGGAACAGCCACCCTTAAGGTCTCGCCTCCGAGTCCCGCCGCCCCCCAAAACGGAGCGCTGATGTGGTGGAGAGGCTGAAACACGATGCAACTCCTTCCTGCCCTGGCGGAGATGTGGATAATGCAGAAGAGGGGGTGAGGCAGGCACTAAAGGCCAGGGAGCCTGGCAATTCCACCCTCTTCGCCTTCCGTTCTCTCTGGGCGGAGAAGAGGGCGATGCACGGGGAGAGCCGTGTGCGCGTGTCTCACGCTGTGTAGCTGACTCCCCAGACCCCCTCTGATCTACAGCGCGCGGCGGCGTGTCTGCAGGATGCAGCCGGCTCCTCCATTCCCCCCAGCTGCCTCGCTGGGATGCACAGAGTGAGGAGGAGGAGGAGGTATGTGTCATACCATGTAGCCACTGCCCCCCACCTCCCGGATGTAGGGAGCGGAGAAGAGGCGTTTATGTGTAGCTGATCCGCCCTTCCCGGGTGTGCAGGGCGAAGGAGGGCCGCGGGGTGCAGCACGCGCTCGCTCCCGGGGGCGCGGGGGGAAGGTCACTGTCTCTGTAGAGCTGCTCCCACCCCCGGCCTGCGCTCTCCTCTTCTCCACCCTCCCTGACGTCTGGAGCTGGCAGCCCGGCCGGTTCCGCATTCCCGACCCCTCCCCGCAGCCCAGGGGCCGCTATATAACCGGGGCTGATGCAACCCACCCAGCCGCCCGCCACAGCTTGTGGGAGGGACGCACCGGGGCAGCGACGGGGGGCGGCGGCTGTGGTGGCGGTGGCTGCTGGCCAGGCGCCCCGGGGGCGGCAGCTGCTCCGGCTCCTCCCGGGACCAGACTCGGCAGGACGGGCCTGGGGACAGGGGCAGAGCACCGGAGCCAGGCGGCAGCGGAGGGGCTGAGCGTGCAGCCTGTCTCCGGCTCCTGCAGCCAGGCCCCGGGGGCACCTCGGCCGCCTTCTCCCTCTGCACGGTGGGTCTGGGTGGAGCGGGGAGAGGGGGGGGAAAGCTCGGTGCGGGGGGGGGGCAGCTCGGTGCGGGGCCGGGAGCGGGATTTGGGGAGTTTTAGCACTGGGCAGAACAGGGATCGAGACGTGGGGGGTCGGGAAGCCCTGGGCTCTTTCCCGGGGGTAGCCGCTAGGACTGGCCCGGCCGGGACCCGGGAGAGGAACAGGCTAGCTGCAGAGCCCGGCCCGGAACCTGCACCGGCCGGGGTCATGGGGAAGCGTCGTGGGCTCTGGGCCCCCCCCCCCCCCCCATCCTTGGAGAGGGGGGCCATGCTGCCTGTTGCCCCCGGGCTGCGCTGTGCTCTGGGGTCTGCCGTGCTGCCCCGGTCCCGCACACGCACGAGGACGCTCAGGAGTCCAGGGTCCGCGTCCCTCCCCGTGGCCCCCTGCCCGCCATGCCCCCGGAATGTGCGCTGGCCCTGGGAGCTGCTGAGCCGGGTCCGGCCTCTTCTCACCCCCCTGCTCCCGCCCACGAACGCGCCTAGGGGGCTGCTGGGCAAGGAGCGCAGACTTTCTCTTTTGGAAGGGAAGCTCAGCCTACAGTTTAGGCAAAGCCTGGCCCCTATCCCTGTCCTGCGCTGGTTGGTGTGAAGAGACCCTGGAGTGCATAGGGCCTGGTGCCAGGTACCAAACGCTTTTATTTCTGTGAAGCCAGCGGTGTGTTCGGGGCTTTACAAGGCCTTGCCCTCAGCAGGTTGCAGTCCAGCTAGACAAGGGAAGGGAAACAACAAAAGAGAGATGAAGCGTGGGTCACCCATGGGTGCTGGAACGATTTGTATATGGGGCTGCTGAGAGCCATTGAACCACACTTTAAACTCTGTATATAATGGAAACCTGCTGCAGCCCCTAGCTTGAAGTGAACCCGTAGTGCCAGCACCTATCACCTGGGGCTTTGGGTGCTAGGACTTTATGCATGTCTGGGTGTCCTCACTGCTTCTGGTAGGTTAAGGAGGATGGGCTGATAAGGTAGGGCTAAGGCTAACAGACCTTCTTAAAATGCAAAGACAGAAGCCTCCTGTAGGGCTAGCTCCAGAGCCTGTTGTCTACTGTGTCTACGAGCAAAATTTTCCTCTTAGGTGCACCTGGACATTCTGTTCGCCTTCTGTGCAAGGAACGCTCACTGATGTCCTGGCATCTAGATACTGCACAGATGGGCACATCAAAAGGCAAAAGGGTATGCCTACACTAGACCCATGACATTGCTGTAGCTTGGGCTCATGGGGCTACAAATTGCAGTGGAGATGTTCAGGCTTGGGCTGGAGCTCAGGCTCTGAAACCCTACACCGGGGGTGGGTTTTAGGGCCCAGGCCACAGGCTGAACCTAAATAGCTCTATGCTGCAATTTTTAGGCCTGTAGCCAGAGTCAGTTGACCCAAGCTCTGAGACTCAGTTCTGTAGCGTTCTTTAATGCAGTGTAGACGGACCCAAATGAGACCTGCACACGCATGGAGAGCAGAGTGAAGGTTCACAAATGCAGTATTTTGCCCTAACTCTAGCCATCTGTTTTGGTTAATGCCTGGTTTTGATGGGTTCTGGTAATGCAACTCATTTCAGTTTGGTGCCACAGTGGGGAGTGGGTTTTAGCATCTCTGCAGATTTTTGTTTTCTAATTCACCTGTCCACACAGTGAATGTGTGGGTTAAGAATAAGAGAATCTGAATTCCAGGAGGCCCAGTTTAGTTTTGTTACAAGAAAAGTTTCAATGTGTTCTGCTACCCCATGAGTGTACTTCCTCCTACTTGCTCTCTATGCCCTGGAAAGGCAGAGAGCCCCTAGAGATTTCCTCTGCTCGCTCAGTCCCAAGTCCACTTTAATAGCCAGGCATAGAATTGAATGGAAGTCACATTCTTTTGTGCTTTCTGCTCCAGAAGGCATTCTTCTATTTCAGTGGTAGCGAAATAGCTTTGAGAGCAAATTGGGGGAAAGGGAGAAATATTGAGACAAGAGACACACACACACACACACACACATAATGTTTCCATTTTCCTTTAATGAAGGCCCTGTGGAGGTGTATTTGAAAACACAGGGTCTCCTATGCCTTCAAGGAGGGTGAGAACACTCTCTTGGCTGATTCCAGGGCCATATGCAGTGTTTGGTGGGCCAATGAAATGGGGCCTGGCTCATTCTTTTGCTTGTCTTGGCAGCCTGCTTCATGGCTTGTATTACCAGCTCTGGAACGCAACCACTGCCAAACTCTGTGTGTGTGTGTTTGTGTGCGCGCGCATGTGCACGATCACTGAGAGCACAGAAGAGACAAATGCTTCAGCAACTCAGACTTGGAATTTTTAGCATGTTTCTTGAAACTTGCATGAAAATTTCTATCTGGAGGCCTTTGCCAGAAGCCTGCCTCGGGAATTTGCTAGTTATTCTTACATGGGGCTTTCTGGGAATGCTACTTGTTTGAGAGCAAATTCTTAGTCTAACTCCCACTAACTAAAAGAGAAATCCCCATTTATAGGGTGGGGAGGTGTGGTGCAGGGGCTGCAGTCCGAATCAGCCCTGTTCAGAGCAGCAATTGGCTGTCCCAGGTTTACTTGCAGTGTAATAGCCATGTCAGTCCCAGGATGTTAGACAAGGTGGGTGAGGTAATATCTTTTGAAAGTTGGTCCAATAAAATATATCACCTTACTCACCTTGTTTATTTGGCTATTTGGGGATTTAACAGAATCCCAAGAAATGAAGTGCAAACTGCTGTCTCTTTCTGTGGCTTGTCAGCCTTGTGCCCTTAAAGCCCCTATGGATGTATCTGCACCTTTCTCACAATCTAGTATTCCCCTTCTCACAGTGCTTTTGAGGTCCTGTGTTATGGTTCCTGCTAAAGAGGAGTAAATAGGACCTCCCCATCCCTCAGTTTTGCTAACTAGCCAATGTCAGAATGGGCAGCTTTTGAGCACTGTACAATTGTTCCTCTCACCTCCTTACTCCCCCATACTCTGGGCTGAGTTCGCTGCTCCTGCTGCACTCCAGTGGCTGGATATCCAGAAGAGTTCAGTTTGGTGCTAAGTTCTTTTGAGATTCTGGCCATTAGCGTAACCATGGGAGGTGTGCAGGGTGTTGAGTACTTTTGGAAAATCTGGCCTCAGATCTGCTGTCCTGGAAAGTGAGACCTGCAGTGCACAGCACTGGCCACTGTGTTCGGCTACATGATTCCTCCTTTGGCACTAGAGCAGCTCGCAGAGGAAGAAGGGGGTGTGGAGTTCTATCTATCACTGACTGGTCTAATGGATTTCCCAGTTGCCTTTAGTGTTCAGAATATTGATCCAAACATCAAAGGACAGTTAACCTGTGGCCAGACAACCAAAGGGTATGAATGGGCTTGTCTGCTGAGCAGGGTTAGTATAAACTGACTAGTCCTGGTCATTATTTGGATGGGAGACTTTTAAGGAACACTCCAGGGTTGCAGGAAGTGTTTTGAAGAATATGTACAGGGCATTCTCCCCTCCGAGTCAGTGCTGACCCTAGGTCCCCAGTGCAGTGCTAGATGGTGCTGTGCTGCTGGAAGTGCCAGCCTTTCTGATGAAATGTCTTTTTAAAAATAAACTCCAGTTCTGACCACTTGTGGTCGTTGAATGTTCCAGGGGATTTTTCACAAGAGTCAGGTTGTTAGCCTCAGTGTCCAGACCTAATTCCAGCTGAGATCATTACACTTTCCCTCCCTAAATTCCTGCAGCTGTTTCAGTTGGAAATAAGATCCTTCTTATCTTCATGTCCTAAACTACTTGTAGCTCTGCATTGTGGTGTTAAACATATGTCCTGTTCCACTCCAGAGATGATGATGATTTGTATGTGGTAGAGCCTAGGAGCCCTAGTCACTGACCAGAACCCTGTAGTGCTAGACACTGTACAAACACAAAACAGAAAGACAGCCCCTGCCCCAAAGAGCTCACAAGCTAACTAGATGGCTGCGTAACAATGGGGGAAGGGTGTGATCTTGATGTATAGTTTGTTTAGTAGTTTAAAGCTTGGGAATCATTGGGATGGAAGGTGCTAGAGAAATAGGAGGAACAAGAGCAGATTGTTTGTCTAATGGCAATTAAGATTTTACTTTCAGATTACTACAAGTGATGGACATGGTAGGGAAAGATCCTTGGGGTGGGGGGAGGGAGGCAGGCAAAGAGGAGCCCTATGATATGATCTGTATCCAGAGCAAGGGATGCCACATGAAGGGGACTGATAACTACCAAGTTAGAAAGCAGTAGGGATGGTTACTCTGGGAGGGATTGTGCATTTGGAGGGCTCTAATGCAGCTATCCTGAGCTGTAGTTGGGGGGTTTAGTGTTGGACTGGGAATGTCTGACAGGTGGAAGGCTGAGGGGTCACTCCCAAAGGATGGCTGCTCCAGTGCGCTCTGATGATGGCTGAGCTTTACTTCTGTGGATTTGTAACAAA